TCCCGTACTGAATCCCGGCTGGAATGCAGATCGTGTGCCCGGAGCAGTGCCGGTGGCCGCAGGCAGCAGGGTGCGGGTGGCAGTCRTGCTCTGCCTTGGACATATTTTCAATTGCTAAACAAAAAGGGGGAAGAGAAGCTTGCTTGCTTAAATGATGTGAAAATAACAGTGTTTGAATTAAAGTGTCAGCCCTGATGGATGCTTGTTCTACCTGGAGTTTTGAAAGGCCTAGGTTTTGAAGGGTAAGATATTACCAGGTGAGATTTACCTAGGGCCCATGACTTCCAGTCAGCAAATTCTTGGAGGGAGAACCATCCTTCACTCTGCATTGACTTCCCAGGCAGCAGTGAATCAAATAAAGATCTGGGGGGGCAGATACACAAAGGTATTTTGGCATCTAACTCCCATTAATTCTGATGCAAGTTTAAACATTTTCAGCCGTCGTCTCCAGTTTACTCAAGTGAGGGACTTCGAGTCTTATCCCCATTTGCTCGGTGACATGGGCCTGGGCAGTGGGATGCTCTGGGCTGTGGATGAGCCAAATACTCCAAGTCCAGTGGCAGTTTGGAGCCCAGGACAGCCTCAGCTTCCCTGTCCTGTGCTAGAGCCTCTGCCTGTCCTCTGTCCCTTGTCCGTTTGCTTGTCTATTTGTTTTAGGGCCAACTTAGACCCCAAGCTGCAGCCCGAGCGCTGGCCGTGCAGGGACATCAGGACAGGGCACTGGCCAAAAGTAGCAAAAGGAATAGAAAGCACAAGGAGGGAAAGGAGCAGCATCAAAGCTTGACAAAATCCTCTCCGCTGCCCTTTGACAGAGGCTGGCGTCACTGGGATCGGCTGGTGCCTTTGGGGCCGGGGGAGAGGTGACAAAGCCACAGCCCACCGCCCTCGGGACCAGCAGGACAAGAGCATTGCGGCTCGTGACATCCTGATGGGYTGCTCCAAAAAAAGGAACTTTTATTTATTTTCTCTTTGACTCTCAGTGTAAGATGAACTTTCTTTCCTCTTTTCTGGCACAGGTAGGGATATGCATTGAAAAGAGGATAAAAATAGAAAAGGGCGAGTGCTCTTTGGGGAGGATGGGGGCTGCAGCTGTGGGAGAATTGCTGCCGACCTGTATGAGCGCCAGGGCCACCTCCATCTCAGTCTCAGCTCTCCCTAGATTTTTATAAGTCCTTCGTGACTGGATATTCCTCATTTTTAGTTTTAAGAGCTAATAAGTAAATAGGTTTCTTAAACCATGTGATTTTGTGGTAGTTACATCTCTCCCTTGAACTCTGTGCAGGGACAGCTAAGACTCCTGAAGACTGGGACGTGTCACCAGCAACCCAGCACTGGAGCATCCACTTCTGGCCATTGTTCCTCTCGTGATCTGATGGTTCCACATCCATGACAAGCAGAGAAAGCACCAGGACCAGCAGCAGAGCCCTGTGTCCTGCACCCAGATATCCCAGGCTGCTTCTAAGCARGTAAAGCCTTGGCAATGGGCAGAGCTGCAGAAAGGAGAGAAAGAGGGAAAATGTGTGCAATAAAAAACAAAATCTTAGAAGAATATTGATAGTGGAAATGCTTTTCATAGCAGGGAAAAGAAACACCCGGAGAAAAAATTAGGTTGTGTTCTGTGTAAAGCTCTTCAGAGGCTAAGAAGAATATTTTCTGTTTGAACGTGGAGCATTTAAAGCCAATACTTTCTCTCTGGCAAGATAAGTAAGGTTTTTATTTGAAACTTGCAGTATCTACACTTGGCCAGCTGCAAGGAACTGGGTCCCTTTGAGCCAGTCGGCAGAGACCGAGAGGGGAATTGAAATCACTGCTTGCTGCAGCAACCACACAATTTTTTTCCTCTGCTTCTTCCCCACTCTCCAATTGCAAAACTAGGAATGGAAGGAGCTATGAGAAGGAGCGCCCGGGTTCCTGGGTTTGTTTGAGGTCAAAACACATTTCAAAGTAGCTCCTAACGGCCTTTCTTTAGCTGAAAGTTCATCAAATATGGAAAGTCATGGAGTCTTCACCTTACTCCTTGTCTTGGGGTTTCATATTGCTCTCCAGCAGCAGCATAGCAGAGCCTCTGCCCTGTAGAATCAATAGTGGCAGAGGGTTCTTCACAGACTTACGGCATTAAGGGTAAAACCAAGCTGTTCCTGGGCTTGTGTACTTTAAGATTTTTCTTTAATTTTTGGGGGTTGTCTCAGGAGCTCTTTGATCATTTGTATTTAAGATCTGGGGATTTGGCTTTCTTATTAGCTAGAGTTTTCCTTCAAGCCCCTCTAAAGCTCCTGCCAGAGAGGTGCTATTTTCTTTCCTGGGAAAGCAGCGCGGTGGGGACGGAGCCGCACGGAGCTTTGGGGTCAGCTCCTCCGCTCTCCTTTGCTGCTTGTTGGGATTTTTTTGAAGCCAGATAAAAGCAGGGATACTTTTATTAAACCTTGAAATGGACAGGAAAATGCATTAATGTCTCCTTTGTGGCCAGTAGAAGTCTGCATTATCCAGAACATCAAATTCTTATCTACATGAGCCTGAGTATTTTGTCTCTGACCACAGAGGAAATGAGAAGTTTCTCCATTGTGAATTTATCTGTTCCTAAAAAGGTGTTTTCTGAATCCTTGGAAGGCAAGGAGAGAGGAGGAGAGGCTGGTTTGTATTAGCCTGAGGCATCTCCTCCTCTGACATCTTCCTCTGAGCAGGGTAGCCGGTGAGGAGGGTGGGATGGTTAAGGACCACCAGCTCTTACTGAATAAAGCATTTCCTGGCCCAGAATAAATCAGTAGCTTGGGTTGCAGCTCCTCAGACTGAGAAAGGAAATACTCTTGCTTCCGTTTGCCTTCTTTAAGGTGAAGTCTTTAAGGTTATGTTTGGWAGCATTTGTCCACACACGTAAGCTCTGCAAGTTTACTTAAAAATGAAAGGTGAGGATTGTGCACATGCCCCCGCATCCGGGAGCTGCAGGCTTGGAAAAAGCAGCTGCCGACATGGGCCGTTCTAGCGGTGCAAGTGCTGGCAATCCACATTGGCATAATAAATCCCATGAGCCTGAGACGGTGCAGCCGATTTCTGAGTCCACAGTGAAAACAGAGCCGCAGAACGGGGAGTTCTTTGGAGGTTTCACCGTGTGCAGGCTGCGGCCGGCCCTGGGGACGTGCCAGGATGGCTCTGGGGAGCAGCACGCGCACGTCCCTCCCCGGCTGCAGGCTGAGTCATTTCACGTTGCTCCTTTGCTGCTGCTCTGCTGTGCTGGTTGGCGTCAGCAGCTCCCTTCTGGGCCAGCTGAGGAAGACGAATGGCTCGCGCTGCTCGAGGGTCCAGTTCCTCCTTAGGTAACTTTAAACTCAATCATGTCTGACTTTGCTAGCAAAGGAGCCTTGAGACACCTTGGAGACCCTGTGCTGCCTCATTTACTCTCCGTTGCGCTGGCGTTTCTCTTGCACAAATGTGGAACCACGCCGTCTTTTTTTTTTTGTCAGATTTCCTGCCAAAATGGGGTGRAATTTCAGTGTGAAAAATGAGTGTGATTTGGGAGCAAGCCCAGTAGAATGTAACCTAGCCAGTGCCAGGATTTATGAGGCTCTTTGCAAGGAGCTCGCTTACCGGCCCCTGTGCTTCAGCAGCCCTCCCTTGCCCATGTGCACGATACGATGCGAGAGGTGAAACACAGACTTGAGTCGYCACCGAGAGCCAGGACCAGGCTGGGAAAAGGGGTGGAAGCTGCTCCCCTCTCCCCCCCATGCCTTCCTTGCCCAGAGTCTAAGAAAACGGGTGCCTTGATTAGATTTGACTACTTTTCTACTGGAGATACTGAGCAAACGTGAAGAAAGCTTGAAGCAAGAAAGCTCTCAGGGAAGTACAAGCTACAAAACAAACCAGTAAAAATATATTATTAATATGTGAATGTCAGCATTAATAGTTACGCCGTGTTTTGCAGCAGCTTTTGTAATAATGCTACAGCTTCATGTATTAATAAGTGTAGTAATATTAATGCCACTTTCYGCAATAAATAACAAGCGTTGCTTGCCGAGGGTTGTTTGGAGCTTCTGTTTCTCTCCCATTCCGTCCAGCAGGTCCCAGCAAACCTCCCCCATGCCCTCCCACGYAGGGAGACCAGCTCAGTGCAAGGAAGACACCGAAGGGGGCAGCATCTTTCTGCCAGTGGTGGCGAGACCCTCCTTGCACATGCCAGTGCTCAGGACACCTGAATTCCTGCTGCCTGGATAACCCTCCCAGCCAGGGCCACCTCTCCCTTCGTTTTATGGACTTTAGTTCTTTATTCTGTGTTCACCTGCAAGGGTCTGACTAGCAACAGAGGAGGAAGGAAGTCACAAGAGGGATGTGTATCCTGTTAGCAACTTTCTGGTCGTCCACCAAGCCTGGGAGTGGGTTTCAGGCTAGGCAAGAGAAAATGTTCTGGTTAAATCAGACACTCCAGCTGRTCTAAGGTGCTAATAACAAGCATCAAATCCTTTCACCTGGTGCTTAATGACCCTGCTGGAGGAGGCATTGGTCTCTGCAGCTCAGGGTCCTGTTGGGCAGTAACGGGCTGGCCATGAGCAGCTGCTTGGGAGCAGGCCCAGGAGGGCATAAAGAGGCTGTCAAGCAGTCCAAGCTGTTTGTGGTGTGAGTGAACCTTCCCAAGTGGGAGCTTCAGTCATTTGTAAGGTAAGCCAGTCCCACAAAAGCTGCTCAGGGGAGTGTTTGAGTTTGTTGTGGTCTTCTGGAGGGTGTTTGAGTTTGTTGTGGTCTTCTGGGGGCAGCCTTGGCTGGCTGAGCAAGTGTTTCCCTTTGGCAGTGATGTGGTTGGTTCTCCTGAGTTGGCCACAAGTAGCACTGGTTGCAGAAGGCTGGAGTTGAGTGCAGTGATGTAGACCTTTTTCTGCACTGCAGGTGCGTGGAGCACCTTGCAGGAACCCTGCCGGAGCCAGGCAAGCTGCCTGGAGCAAGAGCATGGTTCTTACTGATTTGCAGTGTCCCATTGCTGTTCTGCGTGTGGCTCCTTGTCCTTGCCGGGTAGAGGACCCAGTCTGGCTGATGGCTCGAGCTGTATCCTGCCCTAGGAGCAGCGGGTGTCTCCTTGCTAGCTTGGGTGGCTGTGCTGCGTGTCAAGGGTAGGTCCCTCAGAACCGCTTTCTTACGAAGTGCTCATGAGCCTGTGGCTCCTTGTTGCTGTTTTCCTCTCCTAATTGGCGTGGCGGGTGCGCGTGTCTGTGTGCGCCTGCCTCCCTCATCAGCAGCACCCCTGGCACTCGGCACGGCAATTAGAACATCTACATCTTCCCTCCGTGTCATCCAAGCTCTGCAAAATTGCCAGTGATTAYTGGCACAGGCTGCAGATGTGCCGAGCCCCGCGCCGCGGAGAGGAGCCAGGAGCGGAGCGATCCGCAGCACGGGCACCCTGTGCGGCACGGGGACCCCTGCCCTTGGCTTGGGCTCCCGGCCGTGTCCAGCTGGTGGCCACAGAGCCTGGAGCAGCCCCAGGACAGCCCTGGGGACAGTGGCTGCCCTCCTTGGTGCTGGGAGGGGAGACGGGCACCCGATGGCAGCAGCATCGAGGCGCCTCCCACCCTTGCCTTGACTACGGTGTCTTTGCAACACAAAGGTCAGCTGAATTCATTACAGTGTAAAAATGAAGCTCTTTGATTGATTGAAGGTTCCTGTTTAACACTTCAAATAAATGTGTTAGTTTTACTTGATGGAATGCTTTAAAGGTCCATTATATAATACCCTTTTATATGAGAAGTAATTTCTTTACATCATTTTTCTTTAATTTTTGTGGAACATAATTATCCTTTTCCCCCCTTAACCTCGTCTTTTTTTTTTCTAATCGATTTTTTTTCCTCCCTATTTGAAAGCAAGCAGCCTTATTTAAAGGGGCACAGGAATATGATGCTGCAGCGTGATGGATACGTGGATGGAAGCGGAGGTGTCTCCATCCTAGATTTGCAGTGGCTCGTTACGATAGTGCTGCTGATTCCCGGCTATGCCATGGTCTTTAACACCAGGCCTGGGTAGGAGCCAGGGAAGCTGCTCCTGGCCCCGGGCTGCGTGTCTGGGCACTGGGCAGGGYGCCCTGTGGCTGCCCTTGCAGCTTCGGGTGCTGGGCACCCACCCCGGGTGCGCTGATTAGCAGCCCTGATGGGGCTGAGTGAGGCAGCGTCCTTAATTCCCGTGTTAAAACAAAACRAGGCGGGACAGGGAAGATGATCCCGGTGTCTGCTGGTGGCCCCAGGGACGGTCACCGCTGACCTCGCCGTTTGACAAAGTGCCAGTTCTAATGCAGCGCAAGCRCCGCTCCTTGTCAGCTCTCATAAAACCCCAAATCCATCATGAGCCCTCTCCTCCCAAGGTTTTCTTACTGCAGAAAGTAATTACGATTTGTCCTTAATTCTAGACGTGTGCCTAGAAAATATGCTGGGAGGTGCTGGGGCCAGGGCAGCGTCTGTGACCGCCAGGTCCCCCGTGACGCTCCTGGTCTCCAAGCACCTCTCAGGGTGACCTGGAGCAGCGGCTGTAGCTGGTGCTGCAGGGACGGGTAGCACAAGGATCGGGAGTGACTGCCCTTTTCCTGTGTCAGGATTGCTGCTGGGCTCCTGGACCTGCTGCACGAAGGTCCTCGTGGGAATAAGGGTCAAACTGCGGTTTCTCCATGGAAGCTGGTCAGTCCCCAGTCGCCTGCCCCACTGGGGGACACGAGCTGCCCCACGGAGCATCCCCACGGAGTGCCCATCTTGCAGCTGGCAGCTCCACCGATGGATTGTGCAGACCTTCCTTTTCCACCTGGCTTGCCCTAAAGGCAGGGGGACCCCCCACCACCATCACCACCACTCTGGCTCTGATGCAACGAGACCACTGACATGGAAGATGAATTGCAGGCTGCATCCAGACCGTCAGGTTCCAGCACCTTCCAAATAGGCTTCATCAGCTGCAACAATTAGCACTGTAGATTGGATATGTTTTCTGTTAACTTTGCCCTTATGTCCAAGTGGGATTCACCTCATAATAATGAGCTGCRGTGCTTCTGATCTAGTTCTGATAACAGTTCTTTTCTCCTCAAAATCTAAGCAAAATGTGATTTTTAGCAGTGTGTGATGAGTCCCAAGTTCGCAGGGAAGGGGGAAGCCTTGATGGAGTTCACAGCAAGTCCATGGTTTATTCCTTGTGTTGCAGCCGGAGCTGCTTTGGGGTTGTGGTTTGGTGTGGTGCTCACAGGCTCCTTCCCTGTTTTGTAGAGCAGAGATGCTGAGTGCAGCTTGGGCTTTAAGGCCTGGTGCAGGCTGCAAGGATAGGCGGGGAAATAAGGCAGGAAGGGGCTTGCAGGCCCTGGAGGAGGCTGTGGCTGCAGGAAATTCATTACGGTGGGGAGACGGGCTAGAATGAGGAGACCTTCTCCTAGAAAAGAGTCCTTATGTGAAAGCAATCATCCCACCGCAACAAAAAGGGCAAAACTATCACGGATTAAGTTTGGTGTTCTCCCACTGCCTTGGCATTTCTTTCATCAAGGGWTTTATTGGCAAAATGAATTTTTAATTTCCTATTTTTTTTACTTTGGAAGCTGAAAAGGRTTGGGAGGGCAGAGGAGGGGAGGGCAGCCCTTGTGTGAGGTGTTTAACGTCCCCGAGTGCTCTCCAGCGGCAGGGCGAGAGCAGCGCTTCCCCAATCCCTCCGGCTGCCGAGCAGCATGAGAAGTTTCCYGAGTTCAGGGTTAGTTCAGGGGTTTCCTTGGCTTTAGCTCCTCATCCTTGCTCTGACTCCCTGGATGTGAATCCTGCTTTCTCGKGGATACCTGGTGCTGATGCTCTGCTACCACAGCGGGCCCAGCTCCTGCACTGCTCCTGCCGCCTCTGTGGAGCTTGTGCAATTCAAGGAATTCTGGCAGGAAGCTTCCCGCTCCCTCAAGGGCTGCTGAGCTCGAGGTCACTTGGAAACCTTTCCCATGAACCTGCTCCATCCCTGGGGAGGCCAAGTTTCATCCGTCTCGGATTAGCTCCTGAGTCTGCCAAATGGAGAGCAGCCCCAGGAGCGGCAAGGGCTCTCCTCACAAATAACGCTCCCTCTGCTTGCAAAGCTGGCTGTCATCTCATTATATCAATAGTGATTAAGAAGAAACTGGCAGTTAATCCCCTGCAAGGTATTTTGATGATTGAACTGAGAGTGCCTGCTCTAAAGCTGGAGCATATGAGATGTGACTGAGGGCAGATGGGCAGCAGCGCYGCTGGTTCTCCCTTCCAGAGTGATGCGTCTCCGAGATGCGCCCGGCCCGGGCAGCTCCGGTGCTGCTTCATGCAGGGAAAACGATAAATAAAGCAGAGCCCTGACCGACATCGCCCTGTCAACCTGAGTGAAACGGGCTTTGCACCCGTTGCTGATGATTAAAGGAAGGCGCTGGTGACAGGATCTCACCGCGAGCTCCGGGTGGGCACGTCACGCGCCGCAGGCCGGGGCCACGCTTGTCTGAGCCGCCTCCCCATCCCGCGGGACCCCGCGCGAGGGCTGCCGCCTGTCACTGCCCGTCAGGCTGCCGCGGCCCCGGGGCTGCTCTGCGCCCGTCGCCGCTCGCCTCGCGCCCGGGCTGTGAGCGCCGGAGCCGCCGCGGCTCCGTGCACAGCGGTGCGCGGGGCTCTGCGGCGCCGGGGCAGCGCACGGTGGCAGCTCTGCAGGAGCTCCCTCGCCGGGGAAGGGCAGCTCTGTGGTGCTGATGCCGGCCTTTCCAGGGCCTTGCAATAGCCGTGTTTTCTGCCAAGCCGTGGAGCTCTCCCAGAGGTGTCCTTGGTGTCTCCAGGCTGCCTGTTGGGACCGGGCACGCGAGATGCACGTAGGGAATGTCGCTGGGCATGGTGGTGGTGAGCCAGTGGGGAGGATCACATTGCCYGGATAATCCTCATGTTTAAGCCTCTTATCTGAGAGCAGCTCTTGAATAAGGCCGAATTAGCCCTTGTCCCGGTAYGCGACGCTCCGCAGGCTGCGTCCCAGGGGCAGCCACATCCCCTTGGGAGACCACCGCGCTCGTCAGCATCCCACAGTGTTCCCAGACCACGGCCACGTCGGAGCCTCCCGCTCCCGAGACTTGAGTATTTTCCTTTCAGGCCGGCTCCGCGTGCCGAGCTCTTTCCCCTTTTGGGAAACCTGCGTTCATTTGTCTTCCCTATCMATTGATTTTCTGGTTAAAACTGCTCTTTGCCTGCCCTTGATTCACACCCTGCAGGAAAAAACRGCCGTATAAATGCAATGGATACCCAGGGCCTTCAGAGACGAGAATTTACCAAAGACTTATGCGCACCAGTCCCCAAAGGGGGGCGAGAGGAAATGATTTGTTCAATTAATTATAAATGTTTTAATTTAAATGGCTAATGTAGAGGATAGATATAAAGCAGCAAGCTACTGAAGTGTTTTATGGGTCCTTGAAGACCACTAAATGCTCGTTCTGCAGCGGTGAGGATCCCTCGAACGCCCGTGCCSCTTGCACGGCTGGGCGCCGTGGGAGGCCAGGGCGCCAAGCGAGGGCAGAGCCGTTTCCACTCGTATTCCACGTACCCCAGGCACGGTGAGGTAAATGTTTTGYGGTTTGTTTCTCTGGAGTTGGAATATTTCTTTGGGGGAAGAAAAAAAAAAAAAAAAAAAGGAAAAAAAATAGAGAGAAATGTTCCCAGCACCGTGGAGAGGTGCGAAAAAGGAACACAGAGCAGACAAGTCTGGCTGGGCTGAGGTCACTGTCTTGTGGTGGGGTTAGTCCTGCATCTGTCACCTCCCCGACGTCCTCGCCGGTGCCTCAACCAGCCCCTGGCGCGGGGACGGCGCTCGCTCGGGTTCGAGTGACGGATGTTTCGTGTGAATGTGTCTGCCGCAGATGTGAACCAGCGGAGCCCCAACGCTTTGCTGTTAACCAGCTGATTTATACGGGACACGATCCCAGCCACCGCTTTATCTTGTCAGGAAATATTGATATCAAAAATGTAGAATTATGAGGCTTGTAATAGAGTTATTGCAGGAAAAGAAGGAATCCCTTGAATGGAAGCTTCGTGAATGAACGAGAGGGCAGAGGGAGCAGTAACGGGCAGGCGCCTGCGTGTGCCCTTGCAGGAGCAGGTTGGCTCGGCACGACCCGGAGCTCCGTGCTGCAGGACACAGCCCCTGCCCTGCCGGCTCCCYCTGCGGCTGCTGGATCTACTCTGCAGCCTCATTTTCATGGCAAAAAGGAGCAGAAAGGGAATGAGAGAGGGTAAAAGGCCACTTCATACGCTTGCTGTCCCACCCTATGCACCGACAGCCCTTGTTTCCTCCTGCTCCTTCCTCTCCTCTGCTCCCGCTGCGCTGCTGCCTTCCTGCAGCCCTTGGGGTGCTGACTCGTAAAGCTTTGCAGTTATTACCTAAC